TTTATTTACTGTACTCATGTTGTATTTACTTGCATACGAATGAGAGCAATGTTATTCACTTCTACAAGTTGAATATACGAGTTTATTTCCGCATGTTATCTCTGAAATGGAATTAAGTAAATGAAATTGGTAATACTTTGAGTAATAACAAGTGGGGCGTGACATCCTCTCTGCCAGTCTCTTCGATTTCTCTCAAAACTCCTCTCCGATCTCAATTTACAACGATTCAGATGCGAAGTCGAAGCCTCGGAAGCGACTCATCAAGAAGAACACGACAGTCGAGGAGAGCACTCCTGATTTTGAAATTGGGAAAGAGGATAATGGGGATGAATTGGGGGATTTTGTGAGGGGTGAGTCGGACTACAATGATGCCTTTTTCCCCTGTGGTTTGTATGATTTCATAACTCATTTTTTTTTTCTTTGTACTTTACCTTTTGATGAATAACTTACTCACCCAGTGACATTACTTGTTAATGGATTAGGAAGATCAATCGCAAAGGTAATTATCTCTCTCTACATCATTGTTTTTTTTTCTTCTGTGAATTATTGTATCTACAATATATATATGTGTGTGTGTGTGTGTGTGTGTGTGTGTGTGTTTTGAAGATTACGACTAGTTGCAAAAATCAAAATTGTTGAAATCTAAATGTTTGATAAATTACGATGAGTTAAGTTTTATTTCTGTAAAAAAAAAATAATAATAATAATTAAATAATTCTACTAGGTTTCATATGAAGGCTTGAATAAACAGAAGAAATGCTTGGAATTTATATTTTGAGTGGTTTTTCTCTTTGCTTTTCTTAGTGATTTTGCTGGATGCGTTTGCACTAGGGAACAATTAGATGTTTGTGGGCTTCCTTGATTCAAATTGTTTCATTTTCCTTTTAAGTTGTTTGTTCAATAATGTTTCACTCTTACCAATTTTGTTAGGCTTGGTAGATTTTCAATTAATTGGTTAAAACCCTTTGGTGGATAATTAGGTTATATCTATAGTTTTTTTTTTTTTTTTTATATGTGTAGTTTTTTTTTTTTTTTTGGGTGTTGGTTCTAGTCAAATTGATGCTTACTGTTACCCTTTTAAAAAAAAAAATCCTAAATTTTGACTTATATTTTACTTTTTTATTTCATGTAGATTGCTGATTACATGTTTGATAATATGCTTAACTAAAAAATATCCTTGACTGTTCAGGGCCAAAAATTGGGTTTTCTTGTGTGTCTGACTCTGTTTTGTTTTTGGGAAAGTGATTCCAAAGTGGGGCAACGACTAAGCTAGTATCTTGGTCATGATCATGCTTTAATAAATTGGTGATACTCCCAAGTAAACTGGTATTACTTACTCAATTTTTTATTTTATTTTTTTCCTTATTTGTAAGCACCTTAAGCTACCATTTGAATATGCATTCTATTTTATTTATACTCCATTTAATTCATTGGAATGAAATAAAATGGAATGATCATTCCTTTGGCTTCGTTACGAAATGGTCTTTCCATTACATTGGCGTATGCTTTTCTATTTACAATGTATTTTTTATTATTTTTGTTAGTCAACCAAATATGAGAATAAACATTTTTGATGTAATGATCATACCATTCCACTCTATCTAGTGAACCAAACACTATCTTAGATGGCCTTTCTAACTCTTTCCATTTAGATTAAATTTAAATTAGTAATTAGATTTTATAATTGCACGTCTTCATGATGTGCTATAGCAATCCATGGTTATTAAGTAATATTTGTTGTAGTGAAAGGTGCTGGTGGCAGTGGTAGCGGTGCTATCACTGGTTGCACTACAGGAAATATGGGTTTAGGTGGCGTTTTTTTAACGGCGATTTTAAAACGCCACTATTTTTAATATTTAACGGCGTTTTATAAACGTCTTATTTTTCTTTAATTGAAACGGCGCCGTTTTATGAATAGGAGGCGTTTATTTATGCCTTCAAATGCGTGTTGTCTCACGCACCCGTTTCCAATCTGAGAATCTTAACTCCCAAATTGAGCCAATGCACTTACAAATAATCTCTCTCTCCCTCTCTGCTGTCTAAACCCTGATTATCACAGATTCAGTTGCTTATCAATGGAATCCTCAGAAATCGAAGTTCTCTCTCGAAATCGAAGTGATTCATCAGAGCGATTTCGAAGTTCATCTCAGCGATTCAGATCTTGAAATCGAAGTTCATATCTCGAAATTTTAAAATTCTGAGTTCATATCACTTCGATTCGATTCAGATCGTGATTCAGATCTCAGCGATTCAGATCGGTCTCAGTGATTCATATCTCGAAATCGAAATCGAAGTTCGATTCAAGATCGTGATTCAGAATTCAGCGATTCACACGGTCTCAGTGATTCATATCTTGAAATCGAAATCGAAGGTCATCTCAGCGATTCAGATCGGTGATTCAGAAGGTATTTGTGCATGTGCCTTCAGAAATTGCCGCTCATGATGTTCAGAAATTGCTGTTCTGTTGTTTGATTCTCCTCTTGAGTTCTGTTCTGTTCCTCACTGTCACCGCGAGATCGCCGATCTTCAAGGTATGTTTCGTTTCTCTACTTTCTTTTTGATCTATACAAATTGCATATATATATATATATATGTGTGTATATGTATGTATATGATTGTGTTTATGAAGTTTAATTTGATTGTTGATTGTTTGTTATTTGAGCTTCAAATCTGTGATTCTGTCTGTTTCGTTAATGAAAAACAGTTTGTTGGAATAAATTACTGTGTAGATTTTGGGTTCTAATCTAAGGCTGTTTTACTTTTTAAGGCATTCAATTATGACAATGAAGGCTGCCAAGGGTAAGGGGGCACCAATCAGGGTCCCAAAGGAGGCGTTGAAGCCAGTTGACGACAGGTTTGCTAAGTTTGTGTAACATTTTGGTGGTTGTAGTTGCATCTTTGTGGGTTTTTTTTTGTTTGTTTTGTTTTTGGTGTTTACATTAATGTGAATGACTCTGTTTAATAAACTTCTTATCCAATTTTAGATGCTTGATCATTTTAAAGTGTGCCCAGTAACATCTTCCTTCCATTTCAAAAAAAAAAAAAAATTCCTTCCATTTCATAAGATGGGCTAGTAGAAAACATCTCATTCATCACATAAAACAGTGTAGGCAACACCAACAGTAGAGTGATGGTGATATATCAAATGGCTAGGGGGAAAAAATAAAAAGAAATCAGGAACGTTGAAAGTAACTTATGAGAGTTTGTATATATTTGCAGAAATATATATATATATATATATATATAATTACACATAAATGATTGTTAGAAAAAAAAAATATTTACAAAAAGTGATAAATATTAATAATTAAAATTACAAACTTTTTCACTAATATATAATAATTTTAAAAAAAAACCTCTTAAATTGTAA